AACCCGGCTCCGCCCAGGAACCAATCATAAAAGGAGTCCTATTCCGCGCGTATGTTTCCGCGCTAGTATTCAACACAAGGCATACAGTAGTCCTAAGTGCTGGATGGGGAAAGGCAAGTAGAGGGGAATAACAGCATAACCCAGTGGTTCTCAAACATTTCTTTACCACAGACCCCCATTAAATATCTTTTGTGGCCATGGACCACCAAGACTTAACTCAAGATTTAAATCATAACATTTGTTCAAGCTTTTGTGGCCCTCTGGGGGTCCACAGATTAAGAATTACTGGCATAAGCAATTATTGTAGTTAAAGGGCATATCTCAATAATGTTTCTGCCTGAGCAAGCTATCTATATGTTTAGTATTTGTTTCCCAAAGCAACATGTCTTGGGATGATCCTGAACATGTAGTGGTTGGCTAAGGCAAAGTGACAGAGAGAGAAATTAATTCCAATTTATTCTCTACTGAAACTGTCTTCACTTTATTCCTAGAAAAGTGCTATATGAAAGATTAATATTAGCATATCATATTTACAGAATTATGTTAACATATCTATAATTAACTATCTAAAAAATCAGATGTCTTAATTTAAGATTCTTGTCACATGATCATTTAGAGCAGGGGTGACAAACTCATGGCATCACATTGCCATCATATGACATACTGTGACATTTCCTCCTTCACGGAGCTGGGGTAAGCATGGCCCATGAGTGACGCATCCGGCCCATGGGTTGCCAGTTTGACACCCCTGATTTAGAGTAAATTATATCACAATTTACAGTACTTACTACTCTGAATTGTTCTAATTTTTGGTTGCCTTTGATGAAGAAAGGACATTCTTTATCTCCTGTTCGGTGTCCATATCGTTTACATCTCCAGCCTTGAGAGAGAGAAAGAGATTAACACTGAAAAATCATATTCTACCCATTTTTTCTAACATTTTTTTTACAAAAGGGGACAGATAGATACATACATAGAGAAAGAAAGTTGATAGGAGAGAGGAAGAAGGGAATTATATATATAGATAATACTAATAATGACATTTACAGGAAATAAGTGTGGTTAACTGAACAGGTAGTTTTATCCCCCCCCCCCCTTTAAGTGGAGAAGATATGCGAGATGTTACAATGGGAACTGAAAATACGCCCAATGAAAATAATTAACTGAAGTGCTGATGAGAATTAAAAATCTGGGGTGCTTAATGATATATATCTATGTAAAATTAGTATGAGTTTAGCGGGAAACTCGAATCCGGCTCACACTTTGTTCAAAAAATAGGCTTTTGGGGGTCTAATCAAATAATGGAATTTTGAAATATGTACACCATTAAAAAGAAGATGTATGTAAAATTATAAATATGAAAGATGTTTATTTGAATGTAATTATCAATACCAGAAAATATTAAATGAAGTGTGCTCAGATGCTGAAATATACCATGTAAATTAATTGGAGAGAGTGGGAAGGAAAGATAGAGGTAAGGAGAAAGAAAGGAGACAGGAGAGAGGGAAATAGAAAGGAGAGGAGAAGTAGGAGAGAAAGAAGGAGTGAAAAGAGGAGAGTAGAAGGAGAGGGGAAGGGGAAGTAGAGAAGAGAGGGATGGTAGAGAGAAGAAAGGAGGTAGGGAGGAGGAGAGAGGGAGAGGAGATAGGACAGTGGTGAAATAGGGTATTCTATGGTATATTGAAAGCAGAAGAGCAAATGACAGCTGTTCTGGATTGAGGGAATGATATGGTAAAAGACAATACATGAAAAATCTTTTCAGATGTAATGGTATATTTGTGGTTATATGTATGAAATTAAAATTAAATAAAGTTTTTTTTTAAAAAAAGATTGATTTGTTTTGAGTAGGCTTCCAGTTCCAGAGGGATGTGATCAAAATGATTCAGGATCTTAAGAAACTGAGGCTCTTATTGTGATGTAACTTATAGGAAACATCATGGAAGATTACAAATTAATGTATGGCATGGAAAATATGAAATTTTTAGCAAGTCAGACGTTACCCGCAAAAATGAATTGCTATGAATCTCTGTACTGATAAGTAAATTTGTAAAAAACATTAACTTTTTCCTTAATGTACAATTATTTAATAACATTGTAGAATTTGTTATCATCAGAGCTCCTGGTTGCTACCAAGGATTGCTTTCAAAGCCGGTTAGACAAATTTATGCAAAATGATATCACAGCTATTCTGTGACGTTGGTAGTTATAGACTGCTCCTGGAGTTAGAACTGCTATAACTTAAATACTTGACATGTAGCAGTGAAATATGTTTATTAATTTCATGTCTTGTTTACAAATTTCCTGGATGTACCTCATTGGCCTTTGGTCTAAGCTCTTATTGGAAAAATATGTTGCGGTGTCTGAGGTATCAGATTTCCATGATACTAAAAACTAAGACATTTTTCTGCTTTAAAAAATTATAGTAAAGAAGCTGAATTAAGCATCCCACACAAATTTAAGATTATCCCTTCTAAGTGCTAGCACTAAGCACATTGTTTGCATCCAAATAGGATTGGATTTTCATAGCACAATCCTACATGTGTAATGACTCCTCTCTTAACTTGAGAAAGTAAAGACTCTTGAAACGGGTTATTTCAAAAGGAACCTTTAATCAGGCAGGATGGAAACCATTAGAGGCAAAGTAGCATCTGAAAACCTTTAGGCCATGCAAATGGGATTAAGGTGATAATGACCTCTCTCCTTTGTCCAAATGCAGATTCTGACCAATACACAAGCGTGAAGATGCTTCCTTAACCCTTCTACCCTGGGAGTCAATAAAACACACGTTTCCATGGCTATCTCTAGTTAGACATCAAAGTAATATATCCCACATGGCTATCATAAATATCCCTCCAGAGATGTTGGGACCTTCAGATTCCCGGTGACAGGAAACCAGTTGTGAAGTTGTAAAACTCAGTTGTTACAGATGTAGCTAATGATTTAACTCCAAGGCTCCCCTCCTCCCAATTGAATGGCAGTTCACTTTTAGGGATCTGACAACATGTCTATTTAAAAATAGCACGCAGTTGAAGACACCAACAGCTTCTGAGGATACTTCTTTGGTGAATTTTTTCTTCAACTATCCTACCTTTCTTGACTATAAATCAATTGATTATAAAGATGCCATGTTGCTTTCAAACTTATCCATGTGCTTGCACCAACTGAATGCACATTTCTGAGCATTTATACTGTTTCTAAGTTAGTACTTCTAGTTTGGTAATGCATGTTTCTTTACCCTTTATTCTCTCCTTTCCTTAAATGCTATGAATATTTTAAGTTATTCTATTCATGAAAGTACTGATAAAGGGTATATTGGAAATGCAGTTAATAATAAGAATTAAAGCTACAATCTTTTTGAAAAAGACTAGTATAAAAATATATATCATAAAGCAAAAAGCATTTATAAATCAATCATCTTCACTGAGCAAAAATGGTAACTGCTACAGAAAAGATTTTATGTCCTAATCTCACCAACTAACCCTATTGTTGGATTTATTACAGAACCTCCAAAATCTAGATGCTCTACTTACATTGCATAACCTTGACCTCTTTTCCTAAAGGCATCCATAATCCTTTGGTTGGAGCATGTGCTAAAAATTCTCGTGCATTTTCATTGCCAGGTACATCAGGAATGCAGTCTTCTGGTTTAGTCTCATTTTCCTGCAACAGAAAGAAAAGAAATCCACTAAAACTACAAAGATAAATAAGTGAGCAAGATATTTTTCTATAGGCACAGAGTAGTAATTTGCAATCATGGCTAGAACTCATACTTCCTGGAAGCTGACTTGTGAACAACCAGGGATTGTCAACACAGGATTGGCGGAAAATAGAAGATGAAGCACCCTGAACCAGCAACCATTCAGAATATTGTTAGTTTTCTGCTTCTAATTGTAGCAGAAAAGTACCTACTTGCAACAAGATCCTGAATACTATTAAGTCTCCTCTTGAATGGACATGTATGGTATACTGTATGCATTAATTGTATGTATTTGAACTTGAAGCTGTCTGGACAGCTGCACCTACTCTCATGCTATATAGCAGTGGTAGTCAACCTTTTTCTACCTACTGCCCACTAATGGATATTTCTTGATGGAAAAATTTCTTTACCGCCCACCAGTTTTTGCGCAAGTGCAGAATATTTTTTAGAAAGAAGGGTGTTTTTTAAAAAAAGAAATGTACATACATTTATCTTTTTATTTCTACTTTATGCATGTTTATAAT